GCAATTTCGGATAACTCTGGCGTATCAGCTGATCTTGTTAAACCTGGATAATCCATAGTTGCTGGGGTCCTACACACGCTCTTAAAGAACTCCAATAGGGTTTCCGCTTTACCGCGGTTAGACGTAGTTATGCCTCCTTCGGGCAACGCTAGTGCTCCTACACACTCCCGTGCGCGTGCGTTGGCTTGTACGTACGCATAGAAGCTTTTGGGGTTCTTTTTGATACCTCGGGCTAAGTTAAACTCGAATTCATATTTGGCAGGCCTTTGGAGGTCTTGACTTCTGTTGCTCTCCCGCTTGTAGTCACTCCAGGCTTGTTGAGTGCCATAAAGCTTGAAGCGATCCCAGTATCGTCGGCCAATTTTGAGTGCCCTCTCTATCCCGGGTTTCCACCATATTAGTCTAGGACGGGTTCGGCCTTCCCTCAGTGGTGCGAACCTTTCTGTGAGGATTGTTAATCCACTTTTAACTACTTCCCATCTATCCTGCACAGTGAACTCCGGGGACTTCAGGTACCAGTTGATGGTATCTGCAGCTTGTGCCAGTTCAATGTCGACTATAGAGACGCATAAGAGTAGGTCCGTGTCTCCGGTGGCTAACCATTATTCTAAAGCGAAGAACTTCGTAGTCACTTTTGCCCAGTGGTTCTTCCATGTTTAAACCAGTTATATCCGAGAAGTACCTTGTGATAACTAGGTCTAGCAGCGAGGGACGCTGTTGTCCTCGATATCTCGTTGCTTTTGTAACATGCTGTGAAAGGGCTCTTTCTTGTAGCCACTTCAGCAGCCGTTCCCCTTGAGACCCTGCACTCGTGGATCCATGTGCCCAGGATATCTCCGAGAAGTTGAAGTCACCTATCACGAGAAACCTCTGGTAGCTAGCCAGGGTTTCTTGCATAACCCGCAAAAGCTCTGTATCTTCCCAGGGAGTAGCAAGAGGGACAGGATAGACACCTGGTATGCCTATCTGCTTTCTTCCCAATTGGATACAGCATCCTACTGCTTGGATGTTGGGGGTAGCTAAGATCAGCTGTGTTTCCCACTGGCTAAGCGATGACTTAACTAATATTAACACACCACCACCTTGTCTGCCGTCTACTCTATCCTGCCGGTAACTAGTATAGCCTCCCAGGTCTGTTATTGCTTGCGGCTCCCGCAACCAGGACTCCGTGATAACGACGATTTCGGATCCCTGGAAGCGGACTGCAATCTCGCCCCATTTACCTCGGACGCTACAGGCGTTAGTATACCAGATTGCAATACTATTCGCTTGTAGCTGTACCAATTGCGGCCCTTTTATACTCTGGGAGTTCTCGGGCGCAATATCCGAGGAATAACCCCGTTTTTTACTGTGTAACAGCTGGAGGCAGTCTCCGCTACCCAAGATATGCCACCTTTAGATCTACCCAGTCAACTGACTTGGATGCCTGCGGCGTAACCGGCGTCCGGGACTGGTAATTGTGCCCAATCCTGGCCAACGTTTCGGTGTATTCGCTACTACCGTTGCCCAGCTGCGGTCCTCCGACACCTTTTCGCGTATAGAGGTTCCCTGCGCTCCGTTCCTGCGATTATCTTGCTCCGAGGAAGCGGATTTCTGTGCTACAGTTTTTAGCTTCGCAGCTGCTGCAGGGCTGAAAGTGGTGGTGGTTTTCTCCTCTCCAACCACTTTCGCTTCGCTACCCCTTAGCGCTCGTAGCGGATTCCCTATAGGTTTCGGCGTTGACTTACTCAACGGTGTACCCTTCGGTCCCTGTGTGCCCTTTGGTGTGCACACCTGACCTTGGGCCTTCGTTGAGTTAGTCCTGTAGTAACCAATCACATCCCGTTCTCAATGTACATTTCCTTCTGTGCATCTCATTGTTTTATCACACCAAGGC